CATTGAAATGGTCCATTTCGTCTAATTAGTGGGACGAGAGTTTATACTACCCCTTTATTTTCTAGTGACTGTCCTTGAAATCAAGTCATTTTCTCTCCTTCCCAAAGGTGGTTACTGTGGTTATAGAGTTAGCGCTTGTATTATTATCTTTCCAAAGAGCCAGCTTTGGGGGATGTGTAGTTCACTGTTAACGTACCTGCCTAGAGTGCTTGAGGCCCAGGTTCCATGCTCAGCACACAGGGCATGGTAATATATGCTTGTAATCTCAGCACTAAGGAGGCGTAGGCAGGAGGATCGTTTCAAGGTCATTCTCAACTGCATAGCACTTGAGAGATTAGCCTGTGCTAACTGAGACACTGTTTCAACCCAAACCAGCTTTTGCTTACACCAATTCTTTCCCATTTGTTTTGCGTGTGTGCATACATACATAAGGAAGCAAGAGCTTGGTGCTGGGTATCTTCTTCAATCACTCTCCACTTGATCTCTTTAAAAAAAAAAATCTTTTAAAGAATTGTTTTTATTGCTTGTATGTACTCATGGGTGCAGGTACTGCAAAGGCCAGAATCCCCTGGGGCTGGAGCTACAGGTGCTCGTGAGCTGTTCCACTTGAGTGTTAAGAGCTCTCACTGGGTCCTCAGTGAGAGCCACAAACACTCTTAGTCACTGAACACCTGTCGGGGTCCCTTGCTTTCCCTGGAACTCACTAATCCAGCTCGACTGGCCGGTCTGCCAGCCTCAGGGATCCTCCTGACTCTGCCTCACTGGTGCTGGGACAGTCTGAGTTCAGATCTTCCTGCTTGTCTTGGGTAACAGGTCTTGCTCTCTGAGCAATCTCCCCTACCCCTTACTTCCTGTTTCTAATTTTATTTTTCTGTGGTAGTTTTTTACTTTTTCTTATAGTTACTTCGAATTTCATTTCTTTTTCTAGTGTCATAAACTACTAATTTTGTCTTCCAATAATTCATTTTTCTCTAAATACAGCTTTTGTTGCCCTTTGCAAATTTTGACATTTTATTTTTATTTAATTCAGAATGTTTTAACATTTCCGTTGAGAAATGTTATTATCCCATGTATTATTTGCAACTATGTTACTGAGCTGGAGATTTAAATCATTGGTAGGCAGAAGTGGGAAACACAGGTAAGACCCTGGGTTCCAGCCTTAGTCAACTTACTATCTGACACAGTGCTGATACTTGTCTAAAAGTATGTTGTTAATCTCCACAAATACTACGGGTTTTTAATTATCTTCGTTTGCCTCCATTATGAGGATGTGACCTTCTTGAAGCAGGACAGAGTCTTTTAAGCAAGTGAGTTTGGTTAAAGGAAATTATATGAAATGATAACCAGCAACAACAGAGGTAATAGTCCTGTTGGATGATAAAGCAGCAGTTGTGCCCCTCCAGTCTTCCAGACTTGGATGCATGTGCTAACCACGCCTTATCTTGCCTAATTTTGTGCACCCCCCGCCATGGAACAGAGAGTAGAAGTCGTGTTCTTTAGTGGTTTCGTAAACCCCCCCCCCAGAGTAGAAGTCGTGTTCTTTAGGGGTTTCGTAAACCCCCCCCCAGAGTAGAAGTCGTGTTCTTTAGGGGTTTCGTAACCCCCCCCCCAGAGTAGAAGTCGTGTTCTTTAGGGGTTTCGTATCCCCGCCCCCCTGGAACAGAGAATAGAAGTCTTGTTCTTTAGGGGTTTCGTACCCCCTCCCCCCGGAACAGAGAATAGAAGTCTTGTTCTTTAGGGGTTTCGTACCCCCCACCATGGAACAGAGAGTAGAAGTCTTGTTCTTTAGGGGTTTCGTATCCCCCCATGGAACAGAGTAGAAGTCGCGGTCTTTAGCAGTCTCGTACCCCCCCCACCCACCCAGAACAGAGAGTAGAAGTCGCGGTCTTTAGCGGTCTCGCACCCAGCAAGCTGCTGTTTGTCCGTCTCCTCACTGCAGAGCTGTCGGATGTGCGGGCTCAGCTAGCGCTCCTCCCAGACTGCGGCCCGGCCGGCCCTGACGAGCAGTTTCAGATAGAGCTTTATAGTCAACAGAGAACCTTTATGTTTGATGGAAAGCACGGGTAACCAGTATTTATCCCTAGAGGTCCTGTGTGAGAATGTGGTTGTTGACACTGGCCGTTACAGTAAAGGACTGTGAACGGCATTGGGCGGTGTTTTCATCCACTGCCGTTTAGCTGCCTGTGCAGTCTGTGTGAGCCCCACCCGGACACTGACCTGAATCCTGCTTTGATGAGGCCTTCCTGTGTGGCCTGCAGCCTCCAGACCTGCAGGTTATTGATGCTTCCATCTGGGGACCGTAAGCAAACAAGCTCCCTACAGAGAGCTGCGCCCTTCCTGCCGGGGCGGATTTACTGTGGGACAGATTTCGGAAATAGGTTCCTGACAATTTCAAGTTGTGTTTAGAAAATGTTACTTTAACTAAAACTATTTCCTATCTAATGTCCAACTAGGGCATTTTAAATAGTCTTTTTAAAAAATGCCTGCAAGTAGAGAATTATGTTGCTTTCAATAGTTAATTCCCATCCAAAAAAAGTACAGACATTTTTGTATTCCAGTGAATAATTCAAAAAGGACTTTTAATAAAAACATATACTAAGCAAAAAATGCTTGTATCTTGTGACAGGTGGTCATGGTTCAGTGTTAGAATTTCAGAATGCTTTTCTCATACTCGTGTGGCACAGTTGTGTTCTGTAATGGGGGTGGAAGTAGGAAGCAGAGTGACATTAAAAACTGCATAGGTTAGTTCAGTGTAGCCTTATCTTCATCTGTTATTTTTTCATTTAAAGCCAGTAAAACAGACCACCCACGAAGCAGTCTACCGCGGTTGTGGTTGGTGTTAGTGCTGTTGTGTAAGTTCTGTATTTACCGGGATTTACTTCCACACAGCTCAAGCATGGTGACTGCTTTCCCACAGTACTGTGTTGGCTTGACTTGGGATCATGTGCTGTGAGATCAGTCGCAATGTGCCTGTTCCCTCAATACCACATGTAATGTGTGTGAGTAATAACACAGTTTCTCGTTGATTTCTAAGACTAAAACCATTTCCATTTCCAGGAAGCCTGGGGATAAACTGAATAAATTTTGAGTTGAACTTGATGTTATACACAGACTTTACCATATTAGAAAAGTATGTATGTATGATTTCAGAATGAATAAAATCAGTTTTTGAAGAATGGTGGTATGTTATTGTACATTGGAAAAATGAAATTTAGCCAGGTGGTGGCGGCACACACCTTTAATTTCAGCACTCAGGAGGCAAAGGCAGATAAATCTCTGTGGTTAGAGACCAGTCTGGTCTACAAATCAAGTTCCAGGACAGCTAGGGTGTTAAACAGACAAGCCCTGTCTCAAAAAAAAAAAAAAAAAAAAAAAAAAAAAAAAAAAAAAAAAAAAAAAAACAAAAAAATTAGACAAAAAAAAGACAAGGGGAAAATCAGGAAAGAGAAGAAGAAAATAAGGCAGAGGCATGTGGATCTCTCAAGGCCAGCCTGGTCTACATTGAGTTCCAGGGCTACACAGAGAAACTCCATGTTGAAAAAAACAAAACAAACAAACAAACAAAGGTCTTTTCAATTGGATCTTTTGATGTTGTTATTGTTTTATCTATCTGTCTGTCTGTCTGTCTATCTATCTATTTATTTTTGGTTTTTTAAAACAGAGTTTCTCTGTGTTACCCTGGCTGTCCTGAAACTTACTCTGTAGACCAGGCAAGACTCAAACTGAGGAGAGATCTGCTGACTCCTGAGTGCTGGGATTCAAGGAGTGCACCACCACCACCACCCAGCTAATCACTTCATTCATATAAATTTTACAAAGACTCAACCATATTTTTAAGTACATGAACTATGGAGTACAAAAGGGAGTATAGAAATTTGAAAAATACATTTAGTATAGAGGAGATATACATTTATTAGAAAGTAAATATCTAATTGCTAGTGATAATTACGTATTTTGAAATAAAATACACTTTAAAAAATATGCCTCACATGTATATGCAGCTAGTTTTCCTGCCTTGCCCACAGTCAGGACAAATCTCTGTCACCCGCCAGTCCCACAGCCGTTCAGACCCAACCAAGTAAACACAGAGACTTATATTGCTTACAAACTGTATGGCCATGGCAGGCTTCTTGCTAACTGTTCTTATAGCTTAAAGTAACCCATTTCAACAAATCTATACCTTGCCACGTGGCTCATGGCTTACCAGCGTCTTCACATGCTGCTTGTCATGGCAGCGGCTGGCAGTGACTCCCTTTGCCTTCCTGTTCTTTTATTTCTCTCTGTTAGTCCCACCTATACTTCCTGCCTGGCCACTGGCAAATCAGTGTTTTATTTATTGACCAATCAGAGCAATTTGACATACAGACCATTCCACAGCATGTATATGTGCTTATATATACATGGATGTGTAGTGCATACATATATCTGTATATGCATAATTTATTGTTTTGATCTTAACCCTGTTTTGGTTAAATATTTATAGCTGAAGTGCTTGCCCTTAGATAGATGCTCAGCATTCTTAGAGCTTTTTGTTTATAATCTGAAGTGCGGAAACTTTTTCCCTTTTTTTTGAGACAGGGTCTCACTATGTAGCCCTGGCTGACATGGAATTTGCTTTGTAGACCTGACTGGCCTTCAACTCAGAGATCTTTCTGCTTCTGCTGGGATTAAAGTGTGGCCACCAGATCTGTCTAGCCGTTTTCTTCTGAACAAGTGATTTGTTTGTTTGCCTCACTTTTGTCCTTATCTCCTTTATCCTGTCTGTAGGCTGCCTTGCTCCAGGTGCCCGCCATGACTCTGCTCTGGTGATGAGTGTCTCGGTGTGTCTGTTCTTGCTCTGTTGTGGACAGACAGCCCAGACAGGTTCCCGAGGCCGCTGTGCTTGTACTGCCGAGGTTCAGCCGTGTTGCTCTGTCTCCCTTGTAGAGTTCAGCATCCTAGTTCTGCCAACGTTTAATTGATTAATGAAATACTAACCAAAATGTGTTTCACCATCCTAGGTTTACCGACAAGACTGTGAGACTTTCGGGATGGTGGTGAAAATGCTGATTGAAAAAGATCCTTCATTAGAAAAGTCCATACAGTTTGCACTGAGGCAGAATTTACATGAAATTGGCGAGCGGTGTGTTGAAGAACTCAAGCATTTCATTACCGAGTATGATAATTCTACTCAAGATTTTGGAGACCCTTTTTAGAAGAATTAGTGCCCCAGTCAAAAAAAATTTTTTAAAGCTTCTAGATTTTTTTTCCCCTTGGATTGTTTAAATCCTTACTATTTTGTGATGAAGAGAAATACTTTATGATAGCTGACCACGTTTCTAGTGTCAAATAAACATCTACAATAGCTTTTAAAGTATCTTAATTTGAATGTTTTTCCTATGTGTAGAATCTTCTAATCCATCTTCATACACCTCTTCCCTCCCAAAAATAATGTTCAATTAATTTTTTAAAGTTCAAAAAAGCAGTTCTGGAGAGCAGCTCTCTCTACTTAACTCCTGTTCCCCGGTCTTCCACGGCGTGTTGGTCTCAGTAGTATAATTTGTAGTTAGAGATCGTTCCAGGGTGCATCTCGTAGGCACTGTTAGCATTTTGAGTTGAGTTTGATTTGCTGCTTGCTTTTCTCAGCTTTGTAACTTTTGGTAATATCAAAATATACTGTCTTAATGAATTAAAACTTTGCTATCTTACGATATTTGCTTTGAGAATAATTTTTACTTAGTATAGGAAAGAAGCACTTAAACAATCTCTAAAGGACACGTCAAAACAAAACCTTATTCTCAAGTCATTGAACTTAGTGTGTCTCTATGAAGTGAGATTCCTGACTGCTCTCTCTGAACAATAGAAGACTGATAAGAAGTGTTCAATCTGAGATGCAAGATGCATTTTAAGTTGAGATTTCTCAGAAACCCTTCTGGTGGCTATAATAAAAAATTAGACTATACAAGAACCTGCATTTTGTTTTAGGCACATTCTTTATCAAAGAAGGACCTGACAAGTAGCTCATGCTTGCGATTAAATGAGATTTCTCTGTGAATTTCCATGATCTCAGTTCTGTAGACTTAGAGAATCTCCCTTTTCACAAGCGTTATCATAGAAATGAGGTAGAAAACAGTGAGGCCAGCTCAGCTCCCCTTACCTTGTGAGTGAGCCAGTGAATAAGTGAAGAGACGATTAGGACATTCTACTCATTTCCTGGTCCCTTCCAACATAGCAGTGAGCCAAAATACGTAATTTGTGATACTTAAGTACCTTAAAAATCATGATTTTAATTACTGCCCAATTGCATTATCCACTACTTTTTTTTTTTAAAGTCAGGGTTTTACATTATAGCCCTAGCTAGCCTGAAAACCTCTTGTGTAGACCAGGCTGGCCTCAAAGTCACAGAGATCCTCCTGCCTCTCTCTCTGCCTCCTGCATGCTGCACATGTGCCACCATGCTCAGTAGCCTTTTTTTCCTTTTCATTCATTTCTGTCCTTTTTCCTTTTTTATTTGAGACAGGGTCTCACTCTGTGTCCTAGGCTGGCTTCAGACTGTCCTGCCCTGGCCTTTAACTCTTGGTTTTCCTGCCTCAACTTTGCTGAGTGCTAGGATTACAGGTGTGAGCCACATGCTTGCCATTACATTTAGTGGCCTCTATTGATACTATCTACAGAGATACCCCCAAAGTACATACAGATTATATTAAAAGTAGAAATAGCAGTATGAATAATTTTAATGAGCCCTACAATGGATGTGTGAAGATATGTATTATGCCATTTTGGAAATTAAAATCTAATTGAGGACATTTATTTTTTTTCTTTACGTTTCCTAAGTGAGAACACTTGGAGCTATTTTTGGCATTGAGATTCTATACCTTTTATAGACATATTCTTCCTCAGTACAAGTAGTGATTGAACTGCGGTCACTTCAGAAAGACTGAAATACTGATGCCTTTTTCCTCCCACTAACTCTCAGCTCCATTAAATCAAGTTGTTACCAAGCATGACTATAAAATCTGAGGAGCTACCAAGGCAAATGAATTGTTCATTTGGTAGAAATTCATTAAAAGAGAATCTTACTAATAGTACTATTTAAATGTAGGTCCAACCAGTAATCTCCTTCCCTCAATTTACATTCAGCATTTGAAGCTATTTGTAGCTTGCCATCAGCATTATTCTGTAGGCTTGTCAGTGTTAAATGTTTTGTTTATTTTTGTTTTTTAAAATGCCTTTGAAAGTCTAATTTTAAAGCAGATAAATTCATGTGTACTAGAATGTGTATTTTGTAAAATGTTTTTGATTAGATAGATATTTGTAAATTATCCATTGTTTTTGAGTATATGTAATTTGTGTGATAACATTTTCATTGTCTTACCATAAAGCCTTGATGATCAACATGGGGGAAGCAGATCCTGTAAAGTTTTTGTGAACTTTAAAAATGCAAAATAAAGCAACCGATGCTAAGTAACTTGTCTTCTCTCATTCCCACCCCACCCCCACCCCGCTCCTATATGACTAAAGTGTAAACTTTCCTACTCTGCCTGCCCGATAACTCTTTACTGTTGAGTTCACCTCTCAACAGCGGGCTAGGAGAGGAGAATTGAGACACTATTAACTTGACGGAGTTGGGATGTCACTGAAGCAGTCCTGATAGTGCCTGGCCCAGTAAAATGCTCGGGAGTTAGAGAACTGTGAATCTGAGTTTCCGTGAACTGCAAGATTGAAAGTCCTCCGTCTGAGCTGTCACTCTGCAGGGCAAGAACCTTGCTCTTTGTGTCGCTCTGGTTCTGAGCCCAGATGGGAATGTTGTCGACTGAAAGGTGTCTTCACCTCTGAGTGAAGCGTGAGCCCCGGGTCTTGGAGAAATAGAATGTGTTCAGACTGAGAAGTACCAGAAGTTGAGAAGGAGGGAATGCAAAGGGAAAGGGGGGGGATCGCCCGTGTGGCCAGTCAGTTCTCACTGCTGTGACCAGTCCTGAGAGGAACCAGGGAGGGAGGATGGATTTAATACCATGATTTCAGGTATGTTGGTACACTGGCGCTGGGCCCCAGTTTCTCGGTCTGTGGTGAGATGTGACTTCATGGTGGGTGGATGGGGAGCTTGCAGTAGAGCTGAGTTGCTCATCCCATGGCAACCAGGAAGCATGAGGTGGGGGGGGGTGGGGGATGTCTATACCTGTGGGCCTCTTCCTTCCTCCTGAGCCTCTAGACATCACTTTGAGGGAGTGTCTTCGCCCTTAACGTCCCCTCTCTAGAAAGAGCTTCATAGACATCCAGAAGTGTGCTTCTCTAATAACCCTCCAGGTGCCTCTCGGTCCAGTGAAGTTGATGGCGGTAATTGACTTCACACACAATGAAGAGTATGAAGGAAACGAGCTGAAGACCGGGAATGTCAAAGTCTGCCTGTGTGTGTAAGCATGGGGGGGAAGGGGGCGGCGGCGGCGGGCGGGGCGGGGGAATGGCGACACTGAAGGGAAAATCTTTCCCAGTGATGGGAAGCCTCGACAGTCTCCCTTGCTGAGGACATCAGGTCATGTGGACCTGTTGAACCCCTGTCCAAACCTCTGAATAAAGTGTTTGGTGGCCCCCATCCCACCAGGAACAGTCTTTCAAACCTACCCTTGTCAGGTGGTGGTAGCACACACCTTTAATCCCAGCACTTGGGAGGCAGAGGCAGGTTGGATCTCTGTGAGTTCGAGGCCAGCCTGGTCTACAGAGCGAGATCCAAGACTCAGAGAAACCCTGTCTCGAAAAAGTCAAAAAACAAAACAAAACAACCCTACCCTCTTCGCCCTTTCCCTACTCTGCTTTTCTAAAGATTGGAAGGTGTCTACTGCAGCAGACTCTCTTTACATAAATTAGCTTATATTAATTGTTCGTAATAAGTTTTGTTATATTTTCATTTTATATATATATTACTTGTATTTATCTCCTATTACTCCCTATTGTCCTACTTCTGCTGATCCCCTTCTCAGCTAGTCTCTCCTGTGGTGTTTTTGTTTGTTTTTTGTTTTTGTTTTTTGTAGGGGGGTAAGCAATAGGTATCATTAGGATTTCATACAGAAGCATGGATGAGAATTTATATACAGGAGCATGTACACCTTTACTAATGGCGATACCAGTAAGGAAAAACCCCTGCAACCCATTAAACTCCCTATTAATCTTCAGAGGCCCTTATGAGCCCCTCCTCACTCCGTGACAAAAGGTTGGTGTGCCCAGTCTTATGTGGGTCTCGCAGGTAGTCATGCGTCTGATGGCATGGCATGCCTGGAAGAGCGTGTCACAACACTCCACCCCATCCTTCCTCCTGGCCTCTATTCTGTGATAATCTCTGAACTTTGCTCAGGGTGATCTCATGACTTTGAGTATCCGGTTATTGCTGCCCACTGCAAAAAGAAGCCTCTCTGACCCAACCTGTGGGCATTTATATATCATTTAGAAGGTGATTTGATGAGAACATCACATTCATTTTGCAAGACAACTAGTTTCCCATTATGGCCTGTGACCTCCCTAGCCATCAGCTTTTATCCAAATTTATGGTATGTCTTCATACAAATTATTTTCAACAGTTTTCACTTCTCAAGTTTGGGGTTGCTTTTTTTTTTTAGCATTTCTTTGCAATGTATTCTTTGTTGGAATGCTGGTTAAAGTATAATCATTCCCTGCTGCTCTTTGAATGGCTTTTTTTCTCTTGTGCAAAGCACTGCACGTGTTAATATACCTGCTTATGTTTTCTTGTTAATCTACAGGAGTCTGTCCCAACTACAGACTTTTTAAGTTTTATGTGTTTGTGTCTGTGTGTACATGTGTTTACCCATGGAATCCCAGAAGTGTGTCAGATCCCCTGGAGCTAGAGTTAACACATGTTTGTAACCCGCCCATTGTGGGTCCTAGGATCCAAACTCGGGTCCTCTGTTAGTGCCACATCTCCAGCCCACCAGCTACAGACATAACTGAAGAATCAATACATCTCTCCCTTCTGCAGGAAGAAGGTAGGGTTAGAACAGAATGTGAAGGATGTTGCACCAAGCTTGCTGCTTTGCTGGAGAGTGAAATTTGAAATTACACGAATAGCGTTAACTGCTAAAGTACATTGATTTCTCAGAGCCTTCAACCAACCCCCACCTCCACGCCAGTTCACAGATCCTGGAGCTCCACGAGCTGAACGCAGAGCTCTGCTTTGATGCCAGGATCGATGCTGCTGTCGGTTTCACTCCAGGTTTTGCTGTCGCACCATAACCTCCAAGGTCGGCTCTGACAGCTCTTTGGCTGCCACTGTGAGGGCTTGCTGATCTTTCATCTCGGAAGGGTTTCTGGTGGGCGGCAGTCTGTGTTATAGGCAGCCAGCCACCCAGTTGTCCCTAGAGCTGGAGCTGCTGACAGCAAGGGCCACATTCTGTTTGCCAGACCAAGGTGGGGCTACGTACAGTACATGTCTTTGATGCCGTTCCTGCCGGCTCTTGAGAGCACTGATATTATCCTATCCCATTCCGTAAACAAGAAAAAAAAACAGCTCCAGGCGAGGGCTGAACCCACAACTGGAGTTACCAGCACATATCTCCCACCTTTCCATGGTAGTTGAGTGGATACAGAATAACTATGACTGTATTTGCCCTGACTCCTTGTGGCTCAGGATATGAACCAAGTTCTTTCCTGTGGGATTTCAGAGGACGAGCTGCTCTGGACTGGGGACCTAAGGGAACTAAGTGGAGGTACCTCTTCTGCCTTTTACCCATTCCCAAACATAGGAGCAATAGCAAGGACCTAAGGGCAGTGGAGGTACCTCTTCCGCCTTTTTCCCATTCCCTGCATTGAGCTTTTGGCGGAGGTTAGGGTCTTTAAGCACATGACTGTGTGACAGCTTGTTGTGGAAGCCTTGACTGCAGTTTTTTGTCAACTAACATCCAAAGCTTAGCTGCACTCGTGTTGGGCTGAGCAGGTCACATCTATCCTCACACTGCCATTGTCCTTGCTGACTTTGGGTGAAGCGGAACCGGTGGTATAAAAGACTTCACCAGGGCTCTGAGATTATAGTGCGCATCCAGCTGTATGTGCCAGTGACATGGTACGGCCTAATGTGCAGCAGCCCCAGCTTGCTGCCACAGCGTGTTGGCTTCTGAGCTCTTCCCCACAGACGCCATTCTACAATTCTAGATTGGTACTCCAGTCGTCTAAGGTCTTAAAGCATTTTTCCCACCTGTTATGAAAACCTTTCCACTCCATTTGTAGAGTAGGATATACTATACCGTATTGAATGTAGCTTCAAATGTACGTCATGCTTACTGTATTGAAGATTTTCTAGAGCTCCAAGGTTCAACTGCCATTGTGGTGTACGTGGCTCTCAAAATCAGTTCCCGTGTAATCCTTTGCCAATGAATTGATATGTGTCCTGTGCTGAGGATGAAGCCCAGGCCCAGTGAGGCCGTTTTTGTTGTCAGCGACAAGAGGAGGACTTACAACGTACCCAAAGTTGCTGCAGCTAGCACATGTTAGGGCCAGGGCTTTCACCTTGTCGTTCTGGTCTGAAATCAGAATTGTTGGAAGAAATAGAAATGGTTTGGTTGTCATTCAGTTCAAACCTTGTCCTCAGTGTGCATGAGCTGTTTGGTGCACAATGTAGCTAATATGCAATTTATTGTAACAGATCTTAATTACATACGTACAATTAATAGCATTGTAAAACCATTCGAAAAAATTAAAATCTTTCTGTTTTTTCTTTATCTGAACTTATTCCATATTGACTGTTTAGAGCTACTTCAGAAACACCACTGGCCCCTAGACAGCAAGTGGAATCCTTATTGGACAGATCTGTTGGTAAATGAAAAATCAGCAAAGGGAAAATGGACTGCTGAATGGGAACCCTCCCCTGCACCCCACAAATGTGGAAGCTGCTGGGAAGCCTTTGAGAAGGTTGGGTACTCTAATAGCAAAGGTCCCGACGCTGACGAGAGGCAGTTCTGCTGGTCCAGATCTCCTAATCCTTGGAGTCCTGCACGTTATGCTTCATTTCACAAGATCAACTTGGTGCTGGGTGTCTTTTAGACGAGTGACATCTTCTCTATCCGTCACTTCAGTCAGTTTTGTAGGACTACTAAGATGTTCATATTGATAAAGACAGGGTTTATGTTGTCTGGGATTAAATGATTCCAGAAAGTAGGTTGCAAGTTAATTCTAAAGTTCACAGAATACCACCACCTTGCATATGTAATGCAACATAAAAGTGTCTTAGCAGCAATTAAAAATTGCTCATGAAACTGAAAAGCTTGTGTATGGCAAAGGACACCGTCATTCTGACAAAATGTTAAGCTACAGAGTAGAAAAAGATTTTTACCAATTACACAGCTGATAGAGGGCTAATATCCCAAATATATAAAGAACTCAAGAAGCTGGGCATCAAAACAACCCAATTAAAAACTAGGCACAGAAGGAATAACCAGAGTTCTCAAAAGAGGAAACACAAATGGCTGG